CGCCACGCCATGCTATGTCAGGTAACGCGTCCTCATTTTCGCGCTTCCGCACTTTTTTGTGTTTTTCTTTCAAGTTGCTGCTCTCGCTGATGCGCTGGCCTCATTTTCGGGCTATCGCTCGTTCCGAACCGTGCTCCCGCTGCAGCGCTGCCTCATTTCCGAGCTTCCGCTCGTTCCGAGTCGTGCTCCCACTGCAGCGCTGGCGTCATCGCCACGCCATGCTATGTCAGGTAACGCGTCCTCATTTTCGCGCTTCCGCACTTTTTTGTGTTTTTCTTTCAAGTTGCTGCTCTCGCTGATGCGCTGGCCTCATTTTCGGGCTATCGCTCGTTCCGAACCGTGCTCCCGCTGCAGCGCTGCCTCATTTCCGAGCTTCCGCTCGTTCCGAGTCGTGCTCCCGCTGCAGCGTTGGCGTCATTATTTTCAGTGCCATGCCACGGCATGGTTTTCGGTCCTGCCAAAAAGGCCCCAGAATCTAAAACATGGCCTCCTGAAAAAAAACATCGGAAGCGATTACTCATTCGGCGCCGATTTTTTGATTTGTTGGGCCGCAGAAGCCCCCCCTCACTTTGGGGCGTCGCCACGCCATGCTATGTCGTGCTACGCGTTAATCTTAAACACCATGCTATGCCATGTCATGCTACGCCATGCTGCGCGACATCCGATTGTGCGAATAGGGATGAGATCTGCGCCATGGTCAGGGATGGGACCCCCTGGAGGCGCCCAAAAGGGCCCGAGAGAGGCCCGTGTGCGAGGAGGCGCGCGTGCGCGCGGGCCCGCGGACAACGCGCGGACCACGCGCGCTCACCTCCGCAAGCGGACAGGCACGGCAGCGCGAGCGCGGGCGCGCGCGCAGGCGGCACGGAGACAGCGCGCGGTGCGCGGGCGCCCGCGCGCGGGAGGAGGAGGAGGAGGAGGAGGAGGGGGAGGGGGAGGAGGAGGAGGAGGAGGAGGAGGAGGAGGAGGAGGGAGGAGGAGGAGGAGGAGGAGGAGGAGGAGGAGGAGGAGGAGGAGGAGGAGGAGGAGGAGGAGGAGGAGGAGGAGGAGGAGAGAGACCCTGTGGGCCTCCAGAGGTCTCTCTCTCTCTCTCCACCTCCGCGCCACTGTCGGGCCCATGGGGCACGGCACCCGCCAGAGGCACCGGGGCCTGCTCCTTTCCTTCGAGGACAGCCAGGGCGGATCGAATCTGTTCCTCCTTGCTGTTCCACCTGGCGTATCCTATAGGGCGGGCCGGGCGTATCGCCTGAGCCGCCTCCAGCATGACGTTGCCTTGAGGCGTTATTTCCCCGTCAGTTACATTAAAACAGGGCTAGGATCGGGATAAATCGCTCCAGAGCGTTCTGGAGCGCTCTCAGAGCGTTCCGGAACGCTCTGGAGCGGCCGCGGCGCCCAATACATCCTCCAAACCCGCCGATTCTCAGAGATTTCGAGTTATCCCGATCCGATTTTGTCCCGATCTTCCCGTCGTTTTATACATAGAAAATGGGCGTTTCAGTCTCAGCATTTGGTTTTGGCCTCAGCGACGCTCGCATGCGCCTCACACGTTTCTAAAAGTCATTCGGACGCAGCGCTGTGCTCCATGTGTGAGGTCGTTTTCAAATGTGGCCACCGCCTCAGCGTCCTGCCCACATGCTTTCAAGGCGTGCAACAGTCAGACGGGCGGTGCACAGGTCGTTTGAAATAGATGTGCTCCCTCTTGAGACCCACTAGATGATCATCGATACGGATTAGTTTTCCCGCATCTGTTTCCAGCGCCGTGCACACTCGTCACACAAGCTTGCATCAGCTACGCGGATGGAGTAGCACATCGCTTATATTCCATACCCATTTTTTAAATACCACGGTATACATGTTTTCTTACAGAAAAGAGAGTTCAATTTTTTCCTACCGACATGCTTTAAATATTCCATGGCCACATGGGTGGAGGGCGGCCCCTTTTCAGAAGGTGGGCTCCCCGTGGAGACCTCACGGACCTGATGTATATATATATATATAGATTTATATATATGTATATATAGATATTTACATATATATATACACCTATACGACCACCCTTCGGGTGATAAGGAGGTTGGGGGGGAAGAAGGGGGGGAACCAACATCTGACTCAATCGATCTCACTATCGATCTCACTCAACGGGACACCACGGGATACCACGGGACACCACGGGACACTTGTCGATCTCATTATCGATCTCACTATCGATCTCACTCAACGGGACACCACGGGACACCACGGGCCACCTCGGGACACCACGTGACACCGCGGGACATCTCTCGATCTCACTATCGGTCACACTATCGATCTCACTATCGATCTCACTCAACGGGACACCATCGGACACCACGGGACACCACGGGACACCACATCAATCTCACTATCGATATCACTAGCGATCTCACTCAACGGGACACCACGGGACACCACGGGACACCGGCGGGACACAGGCGGGACACCAGCGGGGCATTGGCGGGACACCGCGGGCCACTGGCCGCCGGAGGAGAAACATTTGGTCCAGCCGCGGCCCAGCCACAGGAGGATTTGGGGACATCAGCGGGACACTGGCGGGATACCAGGTGCCACCGGCCGCCGGAGGAGAAACATTTGGTCCGGCCGCGGCCCAGCCACAGGAGGATTTCCTCTCGCCCGCCCACGCAGGTTTGCCTCGCCCGCACGTGCGCACGGCACGCAAGACACGAACCCGTAACCGAAACCGATTTCCCAGCAGGGGGGGGCTCCGTTGCACGTTGGACTCACCCTCCAACCTCCGATATGAGGCCTGGTTATCTGCAGGAGTTTCACGAATGTAGGGCGGTTCCTTCTCAGATTGGAAATCTCACGCTACAGTTATTACAATTGCATGTTCTTTGCCAGGGCGCAAGCCAAGGGTGTTTCGGCGATGTCATGGACCGTTTTCGTTTTCATTTAGTTTAGCAGCAACGGTGGAACGAAGACAGAACGAGGGAACTCGAAAGCACAGTTTAGATCGCGCCCTGGCTCTTACATCTACGCGTGAGATTTTTCATTTATGCGGTGGTGGTGCAGGCGGCTCCTCTTCAAAGCGGAGGCGCCCGTGAGGCGCCCAGCTGTCAAGGTCAAGCGGGGGGGGGCGAAGCGAAAAGAGCACCTGGAAGGACCTGTGATGAAGGGCCCCGGGGAAGGATCGGCGGCGAGATCCGAACCCCACCCTCGCCGATCAACGATTCGGGCAACTCGATGGGCGTTGGGGGTCGGGTTCGGAACTCGTCGAACGAATTCCGAGCCCTACCCCCGCCTCCCATCGATTCAAGAGAACCGATGGTTGGCGGGGGGAGGGTTCGGATGTCGCCACCTACGGAGGGTGTGCTGCATCGTTGACGCATCCGGTGTTTACTCTGGTCTTCCTCCGCGTCTCCCTTCCTCTTTTCCATCGGTGCCTGCGACTTCCCGCGCAGCAATGGCGAGAACTGGCGGGTGTGTGGTCCCCTGGCCACGAACAACTCGCAGAGGGACGTCTTTTTCCGCTCTGGCTTCTATGATCTTGTTTGGAGCATGGATACAATGGGCGTGAACGAGTTCCACTCATTCTCGTCCCAGGCAGTGGTGTGCTCCGGGTCGCTGTTGATAAATTCGGAGACTTGTTTGGGCCCATCGGACGATTGGAATGCCGATGGGAAGGGCTACCCCATCCGCTTCGTGCGCAACGGGAGATACTACGCGCACTACTGGGTAGGGGGGCTGCAGTGCGGTTCATACAGTGCCACCCTGGAGATCAAAGCTTGGCCAGACTGCTTCGAGTTGTACCTCGCCTCGGACATCGCCAGCCTGCCCGTTGCGGTCTGGTGGACGTCACTTGTTCACCAACGCAGGTCCTGGCCAGGCCCATCCTGGGCCCAGGGTTTGTGTGCACGGCCTTCCTGGGCCAAGCCAGGCAGGCGTATACGGCGATCCAGGGCCGGGGATAGGCATGGCCAGAACGGGTGTTGGTCCATGGTTGGCGTCCTCCTACAGATCGACACCACGCTGGGGGCATTCAGCTCTTCGGCGACCGGCACTGGGACTGCGGACCTCGGGTTCTGCGTATCCACCGCCGGCACGCTGCAGGAGAAGTGGGCGTCGGGACAGGGCGCCGTGACCCAGCCGGCGGCCACTCCGGCCGACGCTGGCGTCGGTGTCTGCGTGGACTGCGTGTCGACCTGCGGCACGACCCTGAGCGTCGCGAGGACAATCCACTGGTCGTGGGCAGGCTTGTACTACTACTTCTGCGCATACCCCGAGAGCGTCCAGGACGGCTGTCCCGCGGTCGGCACGGCCCTGACCTACGCGAGCGGGGTATCGATCCCCTCTGGGGTCACATTCGTGACAGCATCAACTCCTGGTCGAAAGGCGACGCACGACGGCTGGTGTTCCCATTCGAGTATCTCTGGGTCCCAGGCGTACATGATCGTGATGCAATCCACCGCCACGGTGACCTCCTGGGCATGGGGGACTGTGTTTAACCTGGCAGGGGGTGACGAAGAACTGCCAGTTTCCGCAGCTGGGGCTGGATGGCACGTGGAGCTCCCGCAAGGCGTCTCCAGTTCCACGGACGTCAACGACAACTTTGAGGTGGTCCTCTCGAACAATAACCCTGAGCCCGCCGTCTTCCGCATGCTGTTCCACGACGACCAACCTCGTGGCATTACTGGTGTCGCGGTCTTCCTCCGCAACCACTCCTCCGGAGAGCCTTCTGGGTTCCACGTGCAGATCAGCAAAAATTGGCATACTTCTTCTGGCCAGGAGGGACTGGCGCCTTACGACGGCATGTGGCTGACGACAGCGGTAGTCCTGCGCGTACCTGCGCAGAGCAGCCTGACGATGCAGCTGATCCAGGCGTACACGTGGTTCAATTCCCTGCACTCGGTCTCCCACGCGCAGCTCAGCCTCATAGGCTGGGGCTCTAACGGGCACTGGGAGGAGGTCGGGCTTGCATCCGGCGGCGAGTCGATCACCTACGAGCCCTGCGCGGCCCAGACTCGCACCACGGGCGGCCTGGACACCCGGCCCTTCCTGACCTGCGGCATGAACTCGGCGCACGGCGCGTGCGACGGCAGCCCCGAGTCCCCCGCGTGGACCGAAAATCACGGCGGCAACGAGTTCCTCGCCGTCTTCAGCGACACGGGCTCCTACGAGTACCTCACGGAGGTGGAGACCTACCACATCATGAACGGCCCCAAGCTGACCAACGCCTCGTACACGGGGACAACCGTGGACAATGGCATCAGGCGCTCGGTGACTGCCTCGACGTGGGCCGCGGACGACATGGTTCGCCACCTGCACGTGGTGCGCTACGAGGTGATGAAGGACGTCACGTACCCCCGCTTCGTGGCCTACCACCTCGGCGCAGACTTCTACAGCTATGTGGCCAACCCCAGGTTCGTGTATGGGGACGGCACCGGGAAGCTGGCGGATGTCGTGGAGGTGCCCACGATAGCGAGGGGCCGGTACTACGTGAACGAGAGCTGGGCCAGCTGCACTGTCCCGCCGTGTTGGTTTGCCCTGCTCTCCGATCCCGGCACGAACAGGAACGCGCACCGCGGCCTGGTCGTGCGCAGGTGGGAGGCGAAGCTCGGCGGGGCCGTGCGAGCCGAGGCAGAGGGCCCCAGGTTCATGCTCACGGACGTGGGCTCTGCGCAGCAGGGCCTGCAGCTGACGCTGCCCGAGGGCTTCGACGGCCTCCAGGCCGGCGACTACGTCGAGGCCGAGCTCGAGCTGTTCCTGTACCCGAACTCCTCCGAGGTCTACTTCGGCACGAACCCGAAGATGCAGTCCTGGCTCTCCGATCCGGACGCCTCCTGGTCTGTCGCATACAAGGAGGCCGTGGCGGGGCACTTGCGGCCTCACGTGAGCGTCAGCGCGGGCGCTCTGGAGCGCGCTTTCCCGCTGCGCGTGCGGGCTACCAGCGACCAGGCCCAGTTCCAGGTCTCGGGCAGTGCCAACGTGGGTCACCACTCAAGTGCCTCCTCTTGGAGACCGAGGGTCGAGGATGAGGAGAAGTAGGAGGAGGAGGAGGAGGAGGAGGAGGAGGAGGAGGAGGAGGAGGAGGAGAAGGAATGGAGGAGGAGGAGGAGAGGGAGGAGGGGAGGAGGAGGAGAAGGAGGAGCGGAGAGGGGGGAGGAGGAGGAGGAGGAGAGGAGGAGGTGGAGGAGGAGGAGGAGGAGGAGGAGGAGGAGGAGGAGGAGGGGGAGGTGGAGGAGGAGGTGAGGAGGGGAGGCGGTAGGAGGAGGAAGGAGGAGTGAGGAGGAGGAGGAGGAGGGAGGAGGTGGGGCGAGGAGGCGAGGAGGAGGAGGGGAGGAGGTAGGAGGAGGGAGGAGGAGGGGGAGGAGGAGGAGGTGGTGGAGGAGAGGAGGACGGAGGAGGAGGAGGGACGGAGGAGGTAGGAGGGAGGAGGTAGGAGGAGGAAGGAGGAGAGGGAGGAGGATGGAGGAGGAGGTAGGGGAGGGGACGGAGGGGAGAAAGAGGGAGGAGGGAGGAGGAGGAGGAGGAGGAGGAGGAGGTGGAGGAGGTGGAGGGGAGGAGGAGGAGGAGGTGGAGGAGGTGGAGGAGAGGAGGAGGAGGAGGAGGAGGAGGAGGAGGAGGAGGGCGGGTCGAGGTCGAGGCGAGTTTGGATCTTCTTGGGTGTCCTCGGGAGCTCTGCCGGGCTGACGGGTTCTCGGTGGTCCATGGGGGCGCCCCTTCATGGTGAGCCCCCCCTTGGCGAACATCCGACGTTTTTTTTCCAACGTAGCTCCCCAGAGGTCTGGAGACCATGCCCAGGAAGTATTTTCCCCCAAGCAGTTTTCGCGACTGCCCTGGGACCCAATCAAACTTTCCAGAGGACGAAGATTGCCAAACACTCAACATGGTGACCTTTCACGACGCGAAGACGTCCCGGTTAGCATGAGCTCCTCAGTTTAGGATGCAATTCCTGGGAGGTTCAATTCGGCAGGCGCTGGTATGTTCGTGGTCGAAGGGATAAGCCTGCGCAATCTGGCTCAATCCCGGACTCACGTCGGCGCGATCCAGCTCAGAGGTCCCCGAAACGGGCCTGAAAGCGTTTCGTCTTTCCCGCGAGTGCCTCCCCGGAGGTGCCTCCTGATCTTCGCGTGGTGGCCCCCTCCCCAGACCCCCGACGGCGTGCTTTTTTTCACAGCGTGGGCTCCTGGTCGCCTCGACCCCGTCCGCGGGACCGGCTCTTCCTCCCGCGGTGCTTTTGGACGGTCCCAGGGCCCGGCCAGAGTCAGGTCAGGCACGTCCCCCTACAGGCGAATCTTGGGCGAAAAGTGGCAACTATTCAAAAACTATTCCAAAATGGTCCACAAATAATCGAAACGTCATGTCCAGACTCTTTTTTTGGCCATTTTTCCATATGCCTCCGGTAGAGGGACCCGCCCGACTGAAGGCCAGAGCGTCTGCGTGCTCGCGGCCTTTGGGATGCCACGATCGGACTTGTTGTCCCGTGTGCAGGAGTTGTGTCTGCGCGTCGCCGTCGAGGGGTTTCGACGACGGATCAGAAGCTCTGAGGTTGATGGACCTCCTGCCCTGACTGGGTAGTCGAAGGCCAGACTGTCAGATTGGATTGGGCCCCAAGGGCCAATCTGGCCTGGCCAAACTGGATGATTTGGGTTATTCGCCAGACTGGATTCGCGTTGGCTCCCTCGCCAGATTGCCTCCGTTTGCCAGATTGGGCCTGCCAGATTGGCGCCAGATTGGCTTCGACTACCCAGCCTGACACGTTGATAGGTGAATTGGCCGTTTCCGGTTCGCGAGAGGGCGTCGTGGCCGTTGCTTTTGCGGGTCCAGGTCCGTCGGTTTCGGTCCCAGGCCGTTTTCACCAAAGGGCGGTTTACCAAAGGGAGGCTTGTCCCCACCGCCGAGAAGCCTCGGACCGCGAGCTCTTTTGTCGCAGGCGATTTTGTCGCCCCCAGCTCCCGACCTTCCGACGAAGCATGAGGCCGCTCAGAGAAGGAGGGAACCCCTGGGATACACCCCAATGGTGGCTATTCGGACGCATCCCTATCGAGCATGGACGCCCCCCCATCGTATGTCCCAGGGTTGGGTCCCAAATGTCCGGCCCATTCGAGAGCCCCGCAGGCCTAGGAGAAGGGTCGACATGTCCCCTGTTAGGAGGAGGAGGAGGAGGAGGAGGAGGAGGAGGAGGAGGAGGAGGAGGAGGAGGAGGAGGAGGAGGAGGAGGAGGAGGGAGGAGGAGGAGGACTCTTCTGAGTCGAGCCGCCCTCCGGGCCAGCTACCACCGGGGCCGGGCCGGGCCCCCCCCCCCCCTGGGGGCCGAGAGGCCGACCAGCAGCCTTCCGCTGCGACTGCTCCGCACGGCGTGCGCAGGCCTGGGCCCATGGGGTCGACCAGGCGTAATGAGTGACCTTTCGCCGGAGCGACCTTTGGCGCGGGCACGGGTGGGTACCCAGATTGCCGAAAACGAATCGGGAGCCTCGAGACGGGGGTCAACGCAAACGGGGGTCAGCCAGGGCACCAGATCCTGCAGGATCCTGCGAAGACCCCCTCTGGCTGACCCGGGTTAGGGAGCCGCTCGTGGCCGCGAGGCGGCCGCACATATTGGCTGACCCGGGTTTGCGAAGACCTGCGTTGCAGTTTTTTTTTCCTGCATTGCAGTTTTTGGTTTCCTGCTGACCCGGGTCTGGATTGACCCGGGTCAGAAGATCCCCGAACGAAGCAGTATCGGGGGTGGACAGAACCCCCAACAGTGACGCGTCGATTCGCGAATTGTCCGTTTTCGGTTCTCGAGAGGGCGCCGTGGCCGTCCTTCTCCAGGCTTGCGCCCGCCAGGTTTGGGCCGCAGGTCGATTTCACTAAACCACGTTTTACTAAAGGGAGGTCTGTCCATCCCCGACAGTAGCAGCTGCTTGCGCACCCAGGTTTGCCCCCCCCCCGCGGCCCCCAAAAAGTCGCGCACCAAAGGTCACTCTTACCCAGGGCCACTCATGCGTATAGCCGAATGGGGACACGCGGCCACACTGGCAGGGCTCATACCGTCAGGCCTCCCAGATTTCAGTCGGGCATGTCCATCTACAGGGGGAGTGTTCAAAAATAGTCAAACATAGTCAGGGGACGATTTTTTGACCTCTTGTTTTGGTGTGTGTGTGACTACTTTTGACATTTGTTTGACACTTTTTGTTTCTTCGTCCAAAATACGCCTGTAGGAGGACACGCCCGACCTAAGCTTAGACGGGATCCGAGTAGATGGGGTCCGTGGATAGCGCCGAATCGCCGATGCATCGCCAATGTGGTTCGATGTGGAGCCTGATTTGCTTCACGTCGACGTCGCCGATGTGTCGCCCACGTCGGCGATGCATCGCCGGTGCATCGCCGATGCCTCGCCGATGCATGTCTTAGGTGATCGATTATTCGGCGGCGAGCGCGGGGGGGGAAGTGAGCAGGAGAAGGCCTTCTCAGAAGGCGGCGGGACTTCTCAGAAGGCCCCCGGCCTTCTGAGAAGCGTTCTGTGTCTTCGGGGAAGGCTTGTGACACTTTTCAGATGACGGGGGACTTCGAGCATTCTGAGAAGGCTCGCTCCTTCTCATTTCCTCCCCGGGCTCGCCGCCAAATTATGGACCTCTTGCTGAACGCAACTATCCAGCCTTCGCGTCGCAGACCGCTGGAAACCGCCAGAAGACCGCGCGAAGCCGCCGAAGACCGTCAGAAGACCGCCCGAAGACCGCCGAAGACCGCCGCAGACGGCCCAGGAGCAATGGGTAACAAGGTGTCCATGGTCGAACACGCAGCAGTTCGACGCTTCCGATTCGATTCGATTCGCTTTCGATGGCTTCCGATTCCGATCCGATTCGCCTTCGGACGCCGATCTGGGCATCGGGCTTCGCAACGGAGGTCTTGCGCCTGCCAACCTCCGCCGATTCGACTCTTCCCGACTTGGCTCCGAGGCGGAAATTTCTACATGACCACCGCCTATAGGATCAATTTCGGGGATCTCGGCAGGCGGTGGATATGGACATGTTCGGACCCCCGGGGGCCAACACGTATCCATATCCACCGCCCGCAGGGGCACTAGGACGCCCGTTCCCAGGCGGTGGATATGGAGAATTCCCCGCCTCGCAACGGCTGCCGATTTGCGCCGATCCGATGCATCTCGATCGCCGATCCGACTTCTCGACTGGGCCTGCCTCGGGGTGCCCGCTCCCGAGCGCTCCGGCTGGGAGCCGGCCGTGGCGAGGAGACGCCCCCCCCTCCCAAGGCCCTTGAGAACCTTGAGCCTTCGAGCCTTCGAGAACCTCGAGCTTCGAGCCTCCGAGAATCTCGAGCTTCGAGCCTCCGAGAACCTCGAGCCTTCGAGACGTCGAGCACCTCGAGCCTTCGAGCCGTCGAGAACCTCGAGCCGTCGAGCACCTCGAGCACCTCGAGCACCTCGAGCCTTCGAGAACCTCGAACCTCGAACCTCGAGCTTGAAGCCTTCGCGCCTTCGAGCCTTCGAGAGCCTTCCGGCGACCGCGCCGCCGCGCTCCCGGCGAGCTCTTGGTCCCAGACAGGATTGCGTCGCAGCAAACATCAGGATGGGAGGTTTGTGCCAATTTTGGCCTCGGGGGGCCTTCGCCGGGCCTCGGGTCCGTCAATTAACGATTCAGGACGAAGAACCGATCCCGCGGAAAAGGGTCGGGGCTTCCAGGGACGCCGTCCTGAAAAAATCAGGACGTCGCATGTCTGGGGTGCTGCCCGAGGGGCCCGCCGTGATTCACCAAGCGCGTTCCACTACTCGCAAAGTGCCTACTCGCAACCGTCCTAACAAAACACATGTTTGCCTCCATGCAGTGGACCGTAAATCCCCCGCGGCGAGTCCATGTCGTTTGCGAGTAGTTAATATTGCGAGTGGTGGAACGCGCTTGTCAATGGAGGTCGTGTTGCTGCCCGAGGGGCCCGCCGTGATCTTTCCACGTCGCGAGGATGTCTGGCTTCCGGCCATATCTTCACCGCCCACCAAGCCACCCCAACCCGACCCGAAGGCCCCGAATGGCCCTCCACTGCCAGTGTGGCGCGGGGGGTCGGGGAACATTGCAGAGACACGGCTGGAACCCATACCCCCCCGAACCCGAAATTCGGGTCTCCAAGGTTGGGTTGCGGCGGTCTGGTAGGCATCGTAGTCAGTTTGGTTTCGAGCCTTCACTCGGGCCTCCGGCGCCCGCTCGGGACGATGCGGGCAGTCCGCTCGAACGCCCTCGGCGAGGCGTAGCTCAGGAGGGGAAAAAACACACAGACACAATTAATCGGCGATTCCCAGAAAATATGGGAAAATATGGGAAGTGGGGGGGAAGACAAGAACCCAGAAAATATGGGAAAATATGGGGGATATTTTTATTTGTGTGTATTTATTTGTGTGTCCCAGTTCCCCTTCAGTAGCCGCTGCTGGCAAGCACCCCTCGAGGCAGGGAGGCGCCCCCAAGAGCCCAGACCTGCCCGCCGGTGCCATTTCGATCCGCTCGAGCCGATATTCGACGTCGCTTCGGGCCGGCCCGATCCGCTTCGACTCCAAGATCTTGACGATTCGATGCCAGGGGAACGTCACCACCCACCAAACCACCCCAACCCAACCCGAAGGCCCAAATTTATCCTCGACTTCCAGTGGGGGGGGTCGGGGAACGTTGAAAAAACACATGGTATCCGTACCCCCCCCAACCCGAAATTCGGGTCAAATTTGGGTCTTCGGGTTGGGTTGGGGTGGTCTGGTAGGTAGTCAGAACGAACACTGACATAAACGGAAAACTCGGAGGTCCGCGCGGATTTCTCGCATCGGCGCTGGACCCCCCTGGCGGCGCCTCCGGCGCCGCCCCGCGCGGAGCGCCAAAAGTTTACGTTTACGGCGTTTGTTATTATTCTAGTGTCAATTCCGAGATTCCGACGGTTCGGTGCGGCCCGATACGTGCACGGCGTTGTTGTGCATCCTGGTGCAGCCGATCCGATTCGACCTGGGTGCCGTTACCGATGCAGACCGATCCGATGCACATTTCGGTTCCGCTTGATTTGCGGCAGGTTTGCGTTGTGTCGACCGTCGGCGACCCCGCCGCCAGCGTTCAACCTTGAACGCCGCCGGCGACCCAGAGTTAGTTGTGATGGTTCGGAAACGGCCGATCGTGCAAGGTTGAACGGTGACCCGCGGTGTCGGGAACCAACACCGGGGTCGACAAGATGCGAACTTGTCGTCGGGGGCAGCCAAGAGGGGGGTGATGACCAGGGAGGGGTGGATATCATGGCGGGGGCCATGGTGCCTTCCCAGATTTCGTGGTTTCAATGCGTCCCCAGCCCCTTCCCTAGGCCGAGCACGCGCCGCTGGCCATGATTTGCGCCCTCCCCCCCTTTCGACGCCCCCCTCTTGGCCGTCCCCGATGCCGCACCGACTCGATGCTGATTGCAGGAGGAGGAGGAGGAGGAGGAGGAGGAGGAGGAGGAGGGACGAGGAGGAGGAGGAGGAGGAGGAGGAGTGAGGAGGAGGAGGAGGAGGAGGAGGAGGAGGAGGGGAGGTGGAGGAGGAGGAGGAGGAGGGTGAGGGGAGGAGGGAGGTGGGGAGGAGGTAGGAGGGAGGAGGGTGGAGGGAGAGGAGGGAGGAGGGAGGAGGGAGGAGGGAGGAGGGGAGGAGGGAGGAGGGAGGGGGAGGAGGGAGGAGGGAGGGGAGGAGGGAGGAGGGAGGAGGGAGGAGGGAGGAGGGAGGAGTCCGAGGAGGGAGGAGGGAGGAGGGTGGAGGGAGGAGGGAGGGGGAGGAGGGAGGAGGGGGAGGAGGGAGGGAAGGGAGGAGGAGGAGGGAGGAGGGAGGAGGGTGTAGGGGAGGAGGGAGGAGGGAGGAGGGAGGAGGGAGGAGGGAGGAGGGAGGAGGGAGGGTTTTTTATAGGGGAGGAGGGAGGAGGGAGGAGGCGAGGTGGGAGGAGGGGAGGACGGGAGGTGGGAGGAGGGAGGGAGGGAGGGGGAGGGTGGGGAGGAGGGAGGAGGGAGAGGTGGGGAGGGAGGAGGGAGGAGGGAGGTGGGAGGATGGGAGTAGGAGGAGGGAGGAGGGTAGGAGGGAGGTGGAGGAGGAGGAGGAGGAGGTGGAGGAGGAGGTGGAGAGGAGGAGGAGGAGGAGGAGGAGGAGTGGAGGAGGTGGTGGGGAGGTGGCTGAGGAGGAGGAGGTGGAGGAGAGGAGGAGGTGGTTGGAGGAAGGAGGTGGTGGTGGAGTTAGGTGGTGGTGTGGGTGAGGAGGTGTGAGGGAGAGGATTTGGTGGATTGGCAATGGAGGTGGTGAGGAGAGTGGTGAAGGGGGAGGAAGAGGAAGGAGGAGGTCGAGGAGGAGGAGGAGAGGAGGAGGAGGAGAGGAGGAGGAGGAGGAGGAGGAGGAGGAGGGGCACGAACCCTCTTGGGGCCATCTGGGAGGCCGCGGCAACAGAAACGAGCATGGCGCCCACTCGACCCCACTCCCACTCGGAGGCCGAACGCCTGCCTCTCCGCTCCCTCCCCTCTTTGGGAGCTCTTGGGGGGCATCCTGCCCGCCCGGCACTGCCTGGAGGTCGCGGTGCCGCCCGACTGGCCCGCCGTGCTGCCGGTCATGATTTGCGCCCTCCCCCCCCTTCGACACCCCCCTCTTGGACGCCCCCGATGCCGTAATTATCGATTCGATGCCGACGAGGAGGAGGAGGAGGAGGAGGAGGAGGAGGAGGCGGAGGAGGAGGGGGAGGAGGAGGAGGAGGAGGAAGAGGAGGACGAGGAAGAGG